CCAGCTGGCTGGTGGGAGGTGCGCTTGCATATGTGCAGTGGACCTGAGCTGGGGCGATGGCTTGCATGCCCAGAGAGAGGGTGCTGCATGCTACCTCGGGCACACATGCCATAGGTTCGCCATCATGGCTCTAGTTAATGCATTTTCTAAGCACATTTTTCACAAAATTCATAGAGAATAAATAGAGATTGTGTTATTAAAGATCATGTATTGTATAACAGTCATATTTTTATTTTTATTTATAAAGATGCAGTAAAAAGGGCTGAAGAAGATTCTGGTCACATCTGAAGAGATATTCTCAGACAAAGTAAGTAATTGCTCCAACAAATGAATTTGGTTAATTATAGAGCAGGGATGTTAAACTTGATTTCATTGAGGGACACAAGAGGGTTGTGTTTGACCTCAGGGGCCCAAGTGGGAATGACCAGGGTGGGTGGGGCCAGTTTGTCATGCATGTTGGGGGCACCTGTGGTGGCCTGAGTGCTCTGCCAGTGAAAATGGGCTCCTGAGCTCTGTTTTCAGCTGTAAAAGCCTCCTGCAAGACTCTGCCGGTAAAAATGAAGCTCAGGAGGGCTGCCTTGCAAGCTTTATTTTCAGTTGCGACAGCCCCCCTGAAAGATTCTGCCAGTGAAAATGAAGCTCAGGAGGGATGCCCATTTTTGGCTGTGACAGCCTCCTGTAAGAATCTGTCAGTAAAAACAGAGCTCAGGAAGGCGGCCCACAGCCCTTATGAGCTCCATTTTCAGCTGTGATAGCCTCCTGGAAGACTCTGCCAGTGAAAATGGAAATCCTTTTTCACTGACAGAGGGACTATAGACCAGTCCTTTGCTGTTTCCAGGGTGGCCCCATGGGCCACATCTAAGCACCCGGCAGGCTGGATTTGGCCCACAGGTCTTGAGTTTGACACCCCTGTTTTAGAATAGAATAGAATTCTTTATTGGCCAAGTGTGATTGGACACACAAGGAATTGTACTGATGCAAATACTCTCTGTGTACATTAAAAAAAAGATACATTCATCAAGAGTCAAGAATCATAAGGTACAACACTTAATAATATTCATAGGGTACAATAAGCAATGAAATCATACTAGGAAACAGTCAATAAAAATTGTAAGGATACAAGCAATAAAGTTACAATCATATAGTCACAAGTGGGAGGAGATGGGTGATAAGGAGTGATGAGAAGATTAACAGTAAGAGCAGTGCAGACTTTGTAAATAGTTGGACAGTGTTGAGGGAATTATTTGTTTAGCAGAGTAATGTTTGGGAAAAAACTGCTCTTGTGTCTAATTGTTCTGGTGTGCAGTGTTCTATACTGTCGTTTTAAGGGTAGGAATTGAAACAGTTTACGTCCAGGATGTGAGGGATCTGTAAATATTTTCACACTCCTCTTTTTGATTCGTGCAGTATACAGGTCCTCAATGGAAGGCAGGTTGGTAGCAATGTTTTTTTCTGCAGTCCTAATTCCTCTCTGAAGTCTGTGTCTGTCCTGTTGGGTTGCAGAACCAAACCATACAGTTATAGAGGTGCAGATGACAAGACTCAGTAATTCCTCTGTAGAACTATATCAGCAGCTCCTTGGGCAGTTTGAGCTTTCTGAGTTGGCACAGAAAGAACATTCTTTGTTGTGCTTTTTTGATGATGTTTTTGGTGTTAAGTGTTCATTTTAGCTCTTGTGATATGATAGAACCAGAAATTCGAAGGTCTCTACTGTTGATACTGTGTTGTCTAATATTGTAAGAGGTGGTAATATGGGAGGGTTTCTCATAGTCTGCCACCATTTTTACAGTTTTGAGTGTGTTCAGTTCCAGATTGTTCCAATTACACCATGAGGCAAGTTGTACAACCTCCCGTCTGTATGCAGATTCATTGTTGTCTCAAATGAGACCAATCACTGTTGTTCATCTGCAAACTTCAGTATTTTAACAGATGGATCATTTGAGATGCAGTCATTGGTATATAGGGAGAAGTGGAGAAAGCACACAGCCTTGGGGGGGCCCTCTGCTAATTGTACAGGTATGAGATGTGATTCTGCCTAGCCTCACCTGCTGCTTCCTGTCTGTTAGGAAGCTTATGATCCAATTATAAGTGTGTTCAAGTACCACTAGCTGTTTTAGTTTACTTAGAAGAATGTCTGGAATGGTGATATTGAATGCTGAACTAAAGTCTACAAAGAGGACCTTTGCGTAGGTATTTGGAGATTCAAAGTGTTGTAGGATGTAGTGTAGAGCCATACTAACAGCATCATCTGTCAATCTATTTGCTCGGTATGCAAACTGCATGGGATCTAACAGCAGATCCGTGATGGTTTTCAGGTGGGACAGTACTAGCCTTTCAAAGGTTTTCATAACTACAGATGTTAGAGCAACTGGTCTGTAGTCATTCAGTTCCTTGATGGAGGGTTTCTTTGGCACTGGGCTGTTTGAAGCAAGAAGGAACAAAGTACATCTCTAGAAATTTATTAAAGATTTGGGTGAAGATGGGGGCCAACTGACCAGCACAGACTTTTAAGCAAGAAGGAGTTATCTTGTCTGGCCCTGGTGGTTTTCCTGGCTTTTGTCTGTGAAATAGATCTCACACTTCTTCTTCTGTGTTCATGAGAGGTTGTGAACCCAATGGATTGGGGTTAGTTGTAGGAGGCTTGTCTGTTGTTGGTGTTTGAGATGGGAGTTGTGGGGATAGGTGGCTGTAGTTTCCTTTCAAACCTGCAATAAAACACAAGTCATCTGCCAGTTGTTGATTTCCTTCTGCCTTGGAAGGAAGTTTGCTGTAGCCAGTGATATTTTTAAGAGTTTTCCACATTTGCTGGTTCATTTGTTGAGAACTGATTCCTTAACTTTTCAGACTAGTTTCTTTTTGCTGCTTTGATCTCCCTTGTTTATTTGTTTCTGGCCTGATTGTATAGCATTGTCATCCTTTCTGTAGGCTTCCTCTTTAAAACGACGTAGCTGCTTAAGTTTAGCTGTGAACCAAGGTTTATTGTTACTATATATTCACAGGTTCCTTGTTGGTACACATAGGTCTTTGTAGAAGCTGACATATGATGTTACAGTATCTGTGGGCTCATCTAGATCTGCAGAGGTATCTTGAAAACCATTCCATTCAGTGCAATCAAGTTAAGCCTGGAGCTTCAGCTTTGCCTCATCCGTCCAAGTCCTCACTGATTTAATTGTTGGTTTCATGGTTTTAAGTCTTTGTCTGTAGGCAGGTACAAGGTGAATCATGGAGTGATCAAAGTGACCACAGCTGCTCATGGTAAATACCTATAAGCATCTTTTATTGTTGTGTAGCAGTGGTTTAAAGTATTTTTGCCTCTGGTGGAACAATTGGCATGCTGGAAATATTTTGGGAGCTCTTTCCTTAAATTTGCTTGATTGAAATCTCCTAAAATGATGGGAAGGGAATCTGGGTGTTTGGCTTCAGCCTCCATAATCTGATCAGCTAGAGTTTGTAATGCCTTGTTTACACAAGCTTGTGGAGGAACATAGACAGCTATTAGGAGAAATGAGGAGAACTCATGTGGAGAATAAAATGGCTTGCAGTTGATATGTAAAGACTAAGTTTTCATCACAGAATTTATATATTATAATTATATCCTGAGACCATCTGTTGTTGATATATAAACATAATCCTCCACCCTTTGTTTTACCTGATGTCTCTTCAATTCTGTCTGATGTAAATGTCTGAAATTCTGGGATGTTTATGCTGTTGTCATGAATTTGTGGATTAAGCCAGGTTTCAGTAAAACAGAATTGCTGAGTTGTAGAAATCAGAATTGCATTTAAAAGGAGTATTTATCCATCTTGTTAACTAGCATAAATTAGTCTATTATACAGGAACAGACTTTAAATTGCATACTGAAATATTGTTTACTTTTTTTCTTTTGTTCAAAGGTGTCCAAGGGGCTTGTAACCTAATGCCTTAATCACTACAGCAAATTGGCTCACATTGTTTACTTAAAAGTATCCAAATATGTCTCACTAAACAATAAAGCTGCATGCACCCATTGAGTCTTATGAGGAGATGCAGCTAATCAAACAAAGGTAAGGTTTTATTTGCAAAGGAAGAAACCATGTTAAGCTTGTTTACATCTTATTTGTTAACCAAACTAACTTATGAGTGGAACTAATAGATATTCAAAGATATATTTGCTTCTGGCTAGTATATTAAGTTCACAGAAATTTTACTATCACGGAAGGCTTCATTCATAAGCGCACCAAAATGTGCCTACCGTTCCTGACCTACTGGTTTTTTTTCTTATTCATATCTATTTCATGTATTTATAACCATGTTTATACTTATACCTGTTATCTAATAATTGTTTGAAAAAATAAATAAATAAATTTTAATGAAAGGCAACAAATCTTTGCCTGTTTCTTTGGATATAAATGCCAATCAGCAGTGGAATATACTAAATATATTGGTAAATATCTGTTTCGTCACTAAACTGTCATACATTTGCTGATTCCTCCAGTTCAAAATTTTGAAATGTAAATTAGCATATTACTTAATGTTCAATTTTATAGGAGCTCTGTCTGAAACACCTTATTTACAATTACGCTCTGGAAACAATCTTTACTATCCAATTGATATCAGTAAATCTAACTAAGCCCAACATTTATTATAGTCCTTAAAAGGTAAAAAAGCTGAGAATCTCTAAATACTTTTTTGTGGCCGTTTTAGCTTGGAATCGGGCACATAATGTGGTTCCAGAGAGATTGCTTCAAAGTCACCAAGTGAGTTTGTTTGGGGTGGGCAGAGAGATATTACTGATTTTGCTTCCTGGCTCAAAACAGCGGAAAACTCTCCTCCCTCAGTTATGGTTGGAAAATGATGGAAACGGTCACAAAAAAGTATTTTACCTTCCGAAAGTCCCTTCTACCCTCCCGCCTCGTCCCTCAGCGCCTCTTCTCCGCGTAGAGGAGGAGCCGCATTCTCTTGGCGATTGGTTAGGCCTGCTGCCAATCGGGCGGCCGAGGGGCGTGGCTAGGCTCGAGCCGGCTTAGGCTCTCGCAAGAGCAGAAGCGGGCGTCCAAGTCAAAGCCTCGTTGCTGCCGGAGCCGCGACGTTTCCTTTCCCCCCCACCATTTCATCCTACGCAGTCAGGCAGCGAGCGCAGACCTCGACTCCCAGCGCTGTCCGACTAGGGCACGCCATGGAGGAGGAGCGTGCCGGGGAGCAGATGAGGCCACTACTCACAACGGTAATAGAGCGAGGAGGCAGAGGCTGGGGGAAAAGTTGGGGACAGGAGGAGGGTTCCCCTTCGCAGCCAGCCGGGGCTGTCTGCGGGTCGCTGCTGTTCCTCTTTGTGGGGGCGGAGCCGCCGGCGGAGACTTTAACGCCCGCGGTAATTGAAAGCTCGGCTTCCTGCTCTCGGTCTCAGTCACAGGTGTCAGTTCAGGAGCCGTGTGGGGAGGGCTACATAAGACTTCGCCCCCCCCTCCTTCCTCGATTCATGTCCAGGCAACAGTGCGTGTAGCCAGAGCCCTAAATAACAGAGTTGCTGTCGCCTCGTGAATTCAGAGGCTTGTTGGGATAATCTGGGCAGCCATCCGTTTAATTCTAGTATTAATTCTTTTGGGCGAAATATATCTCGTCAGCATCTTCTCATGCCCCAGTTGCTCGCTTCCTGTTTCTGTGTATGCGTGAGAGAGAAATAGACTTTTATTTTTACGTTGCTTTCGCTGCTTTTGTTTAGGCCGAGATCTAAATATGGTAAGGGCAGGCCAGAGAGCGAGAGCGAGCTTGGTCTCTTTGTTCCCCACCCAGCTCTCTCGCTCGCTCTCTTTCTCGTCCTCCGCCTCTTCCATCCACACGCTCATTTCAGATTTTCATACCGCGGTACACATGGAAGAGTCTCAAGTAAGGTAAAGGAAAAGACTAAGATCAAACCTAGTGTATGTTCTGGGCTGGAGTAAAAGCTATATAGATGAATCTCTGGGGCAGTTTGCAACAACTGCTGGTGAAGCTCTGCTATCCTGTTCTTTACCATTTCACTGTCTCTGAGAGTGCAGACACATGGTTTGCCAGGACCAGTTCTTTTGTCCTCAGAGCTTGCTGTCATATGGAGCTCAAGGAAATGATGTGTTGTTTCTAGGGCCTTTTCATTGCCAGTGTTTGTGGAGGTGGTCATCAAGGGATAATATAACAGTGATTCACTTTACTTCCGTTTCAGAGGAGGTGAAATGAAGCCATCACATGCCTGTTCAGTAAAACTACTGGGTTTTTACCCACTTTGATTTTGGGGAAGTGTGATTTTTTTTGGGGTGGTGGTGGTGGTGGTGAGCTCAGTTTAGGTGAAAGTTTTTTGTTGTTTTGTTTTTGAGTTTCTGCCATTTATCTTGATGTTAATCAGGAGTTCATTGCCAAGGTTTCTTGAGGCTATGGTTTGGCAATTAATCTAATTTAATTGGGTAGTAAAAATGGGCACTAGGTAACGGAAAGCTTTCCTGACAGAATGATAAGCAAACAAATACTCTGCTGTAGAAGTGTTTTTTAACTGTTACTTTTCCTACTCTGAAACTATATTAATAAAGAAGCTAAACAGTAGCTTTAACCAAAATACACATCATTTATAATGTAAGATAGTGGATACTTAGAATAACATCCAAGTGGCCCAGAAAAGCAGTTTGAATAATATTCAGTCAGATTTTGCAGATCTCTCCGACATTTGCTCTGGTGCATTTGCACAGCATTCCTGTATAAATGAATGAAATGTTTATGAACTTGGAGCATCTTATTTTGAGCTGGAAACTATTGTTTCTGGTGTAAAATGTTTTGCATTCAAAACAGGCTTCATAGTTCATTTTGAATTCACTTTGAATTCAAAATATACATTTTGAATTCAAAATAATTGAATAATGCATATCCTGGTTTCCTAATGGTTCCCAAACAGGGTTAATTTAAACCACTCTTAATCCATAAAGCTATAAAGAAGTAGTGCAACAGAGATAGCTTCTGAAGTCCATATATGGCTGAAAGTTTTAAATGAACAACTTCAAAGATGACTGAAATGCCTATTAACAAGACTTTATTGTGAAACAAACTTTATATTCTTGTGATACTGGCCATAGTAAAACAGGGAAGGGACTTTTGGCCTGCCTTTGAGCCAGCTTCTCCCTCATTCCCCTCCCTAATACCCTGTTTCTCCAACAATACGGCCTCCCCCAATAGGAAGTCTCAGCATGTTTTATAGGCATGAAATGAAATTAAGCGCCTCCCCCCAAATTAAGGCCTATATTAAAACATGCAAAATGGGGGGGGGAATGGTGGGGGGGCTTGCCATTAGGAAGTACTTTTGTTGCACACCTGGATATGGTGCCTGCGTTGACCCTGATATGAAGTGCCCCACCAACGCCGAGGTCAACATCCAAGCCGGCGCTGCCCACCCAAAGATGCAAGGGGGGGGGGAATTAAGTCACCCCCAAAAAGACGACCTAGCCATTTTTTCAGGGCTCAAAAAAAAATAAGACCCGGCCTTATTATATGAGAAACACGGTATGAAGAGAAGGATTTAACATTAAGTTTTGAGGAAATTATGTGTGATTCTTCTGGTACTTTACCATAGTTTCTCTTATTGAAGAAATCAATTAGTACTCACTTTGTAGAGTTTAAGTATTATGTCTTTGGATTGCTTCTATTTATATATAATACTTCTAGGGCCTCTTTTACTCCTCTGCACTAAGATGGCAAAACAACAATACAAATAAAAGGTGGAGAACCACCTAGCAGATGAAGTGAGTGTGGCAGGGACTGCAGCACCTAACTAACTATAAAGGCAACATGAGGAACAAGGTCAATACTGATGCCTCATTGGTAGAGGAGTTGAACATCATCTTCACCCGCTATGAGGTGAAAAGACCAGACCCCATAGCCTCTGCCTGCCAGCCTTCTGATTCCCAGCCACTCACCCTATATGAACATCAAGTGAGAGCTGCACTGAAGGCTGTCAATCCCAGTAAAAATGCAGGTCCAGATGGGGTGCTGGGGATAGTGGTAAAGACTTGTGCTGATCAATTAGCAGAGGTCCTGACAAAGATCTTTAACATCTCCCTGTAAATGGCCTGTGTTCCATCATGCTTGCAAACAGCCATTATTGTCCCAGTCCTCAAGAAAACAGCAATTAACTACCTAAATGACTACAGACCTATCGTGTTAATGTCAATAGTGATGAAATGCTTTGAAAGACTGGTTCTCCACCACCTCAGGACATGCCTCCCACCAAACTTTGACAAACATCAGTTTGCCTACAGGTGGAACAGGTCAACAGACGATGCCATAGCTACTACCTTACATACTGTAGCAAGCTATCTGGAGAAACCCGGAAATTATGTCAAGATGCTTTTCATTGACTACAGCTCGGCCTTCAATACTGTCCTGCCCAGCATGCTTATCAAAAAGCTGACTGACTTGGATTTTCTCTCTTCCATCTGCGACGGGATCAAAGACTTTCTGAAGGACTGACCACAAACAGTGAAGGCTGGGCCTGTCACATCCACCTCCCTGAAGCTTTGTACTGGCTCCCCACAGGGCTGTGTGCTCAGTCCTTACCTGTACTCATTGTACACACATAATTGTGTATCATCTGACCCATCCACTGTGATCATTAAGTTCGCAGGTGATACTACCATATTTGGTCTCATTATAGGTGGAGATGAAACAGCGTACAGGAGGGAGGTTCAAAAATTATTCTCATGGTGCCTAGAAAACAACTTGCACCTGACTATCAGCAAGACAAAGGAGATAGTGTTAGACTTCTGGAAGAAGAGACAGGAACCTGCCCCACTTTATATCGAGGGGGGGCTGGGTGGAGAGAGTTTCCTCCTTTAAATTCCTGGGAGTCTACCTCAGTGAAGATCTTACCTGGAAAATCAACACAACCCAGGTGGCCAGAAAGGCCCAACAGAGACTCAATTTCCTTAAGGTCATAGCCAGTCGCACCAACAGGCTGAAGAACAGTTTCTACCAGTGGGCTGTCAGACTCCTGAACAGAAAATAACTTCATGTCAACATAGTATGATAGATTTGCAGGGCCTGCACATTGTTCAACAAGGTCACATAGTGTAATAAGATTGGGACTGGTTTAGGGGCTTCTGTCCTCACTGTGAGTTGTGTTGGGAGGGGGTGCTCCAAGGGAGGCTCAGCCAATTTCATTGTACACATGTTGTACTTTGACAATAAAGGTAATAATATTACAAGGCTAAGTGAAGAGATTTTTTTTTATGTTGTATATTGAGAAGAGGAATAAAAGTTTGATCATACTATTTGTTCTCTTATGGTTTTGGCTATTTGGAATCTGTTTATCCTTTTCCCACTACTTCAGCTATTGTCTCATTGGCCTAAATATAATTTTTCATTGACACATTGTATTTGATTTTTTTGATCAAAAGATAGTTGAAGAATAATCGGGCAACTTTTGAATTCTTAAAGATCTGTGAGTTTGTTAGTGCTTCGGCCCATTTTTTTTGTCTATAGCAAAGAGGACACTAATTTATGCAAATTAAAATGCTTACATAATAAAATAGCAATATGTCTCTATCTTGTGCAGCATTTGTTTATTCAATTCTATAACTGCTGACAGATATTTAACTGTCCATTTATCTATAGTTTATTCAAAAGCAGAATATTCATTTGTTACTACTTTTCTGTTTCCTAATCAGTTTGTTCTGATCATTCACATACGATCATACTTATCTTAGTTCTCTCCCCCCCACCCCATCCCCACACCTTCCCTTCTCTGGAACCTGGATGTACAGTTGATTCTTACCCCCCCCCCCCTTCATTTGAAAAAGGCTCTTAAAATCATGTTTCAATAGATCTTTGGATTGTGTCAGTATATTTATTTTCAATATTATGTAATTAGTGTGGTTTTTAATTGCTTTGTAATATTTTGTTTGTTGGTTTTCTTGTATATTTTCAAGAATCAATCTGATTGGGGTGTTATATAATTGTTGTAAATAAACCTTATGGTGCTTTCCTCCTAGCCTATAAATACATTTGAAAGTTTGTAGATAGTTCATAGTATTCTTTTTAGAGGGTTTTCACATTAAATATGCAAGCCATCTGTTACAGTTCTTGTTTTCTTACTATCTCAATGTATTTTTACAGTTTCATATTTTTTTTTTATTTTTACTTTTAACAATTCCTACTTGGAAGATAAGTTAAATATAACTATAGGCAAAACCCTATAGATGAAAAACCCTC